CTTGAACTTTGATGGGGAGCCTCTAGGAGTCCCTGGGATGGTTTGAGATACTAGGGAACCAGATCTTCCCTTAGATCGAATTTCATGTGACAGTTGTCTCAGATACTATTTTATCTTGTTTCTTACTGAGTGACTCGTTTTTGCATCCTCTAGTTGTTTTTGGCTTGTCTCGTGATTCAGTCGACTTTAATCTTGCTGGCGGCTGAGATAGATCACTTTGCAGGACAAGTTGGTCTCATGATCTTCAATTAGTGGACCTTCTTTTACCGTACATTTTTTCTTTTGGACCATTAATCTCCTTAGGATCTATGTTGACACATTTTTGTTGTACTATATGTATTTTTTATAAATTCAATATGTTTTGTATTCATTTAGTTATACATGCATAACTTGAAAGATTCAAATACTGTTGGAACATTTATTTGAATTTTTTGGATTTATTTGAGTTTGGATCAAAATTTAGCAGTAAATTTTGCTCATACTGAGATTGTATGATTGTCTTGGGTTAACTAGTTTGTTGATCGCCATGACTTGCGTAGATGTGATAGAACAAATTTAGACCAATTTCAAACCATTATTGGACCAGCTCAGGATTGAAATGTTTTCAACCATATGAATAACCAATGTATGTAAAAATGATTAGCAACTTGTCATGTAAGTCAGATTCTGTTGTGTTGTTTCTCACCAACATTTACATGTGAAATTAGGAGCGCTAGGAGTGACCAGTGGCAGATTATCATCAAACCGTATCATTCTTTCTTCTTAATTATTTGGATTCGTCTTATAAATTAGCGCCGATTCATTTGTTAGTTTTGGGGCTATATAATTATTTGAACCTCAAACGCAATGACTTGATTGTAATGTTAAAACAGTTTTGTTGATTATATGATGCATTTTATGAAAATTTAAATATATAAAGTGATACTGTAATTAAACAATTTTATTTGAATTTTTACATTAAATTGGTGAATCTTAAACAAAATCCTTAAAATTATAAAGTATTTTTAATCTCTTAATGAAAGGTTTGACAGTAAACTTTTGTGGTGTTATATTGGTATTTGGCCTTAACAGCCAATTTAAAAAGACCTTGGAGTTGTGAAGCAGAATCGATGGCTGAGATTTTCAGTTGTGAAGAAATATTGTCCTTGGGAGCAGAGCAGCGGCTTTCTTTTCAATATTCAGAAAAGAGTACGGAATACAAGATTTAGAATCTCACCTAGGGTTACAAAGAGAACATATATATAACCCTATAGTATAATATGTAATTACTTAAATTACCCATGTATCAAACCGCGGGGTGTTGCCCCCGCACCCCCAACCCACATAATAAAACTCTCCCAATTTGACAGATCCTTCCGCTCCACTCCGCCCATGGGCTCCGCTCCGCTCCAACATCTGTCCCATTTATGGTATATGAGTCATTCCTAACAAATCTCCACCTTAGCGAATATCCAGCCCCTTAGGAGAAGCGAATATCCAGCCCCCAGCCCCTTAGGAGAAATATATCATGAAGTTTATTATGCATCAATGTGGGTTGAGTCACCATGCTGTCTAACAATTATAAACATTCAACAAGTTCAAACGATGCAAGAACTTATTGATAATACCTGGCTTGGTCAACATATCTGCTGCATTTTCATCGTATGATCCAACAGAGTGAACTTCACCTATAACTGTACTCCCCAACAGTTTATAGATATTACAGACAGTTAACTTTTCTTTCATCACAGTCAGTGCACCTTTAACAATTCTGATGGTTTCCTTTTTCCCATCTGCCTTATAAATAAAATCATTTCTATTTAAAGTGTCTAAGAAAATTAAATTTTTCTTCAAATCTGGAATATGTCTGACCTCACATAATGTTCTAACTGTGTCATAATACATCTTAATTCTGACTTTCCCAATACCATCAATATTGCATCATCTATCATCACCTAAGTAGACTGAGTCAAAATTAGTTTACCTGTATGAAGTAAACAACTCTCTGGTAGGTGTTACGTGATAAGAACATCCTAAATCAAGAATCCATGCATCCATAAACTGAGTTGATGAAACTGAAAGCATGTCACCATCACTGTAGTCTAAATTGTCACTCTGCACCACATTTACATACTTGGATGATGCATCGTCTTTCTCCCCAATCTGCTTCTTGAGCTTTGGACAATCTCTCTTTATGACCCGACTTCTTGCACTTGTAGCAATGAATTGTCTTTTTGTTTATGGAATTTTATCTTCCAAAGCTCTTGTTGTCCTCCTTCCTTCCTCGATCTTGATTACCTTTAACATATAAAATGTCTTCATGAGAGCTTTCTCCTGCATTATGCTTCCGCTGGTTGTGAGCCAACAATGCTGCAGTAATCTCATCAACTTTGATAATTTCTTTCTCATATGTTAAAGCAGTCACCAGGTGTTCATAGGAAGAAGACAATAAACACAACAAAATCATTGCTTGGTTTTCATCCTCAATACTTACATCAAGTCTTGATAAATTCTTGATTATTTGATTGAAGTCATTCACATGTTGCGCTAGATCATAACCTTCTTCCATTTTCAACTCATACTACTTTTGCTTTAGATACAATTTATTCGTCAGAGATTTGGACATAACTGAGTTTTCAATTTCTTCCATACATCCCCTGAAGATTTCAAATTCATTATGTGATACATAACCTCATTTGTCAGACATAGGCGTATGATTGTTGCCGCTCGCTGTTGCAATTCTTCTCAATCTTTATCCTCAATGACATCTGGTTTTGCTGCCCGCAAAGCTTTCAAGATTTATTGTTGAGCCAACAAAACTTTCACCCTTGTTTGTCATAATTCGAAGTTACCAGTTCCATTGAATTTCACCATCTCGAATTTTGTACCAGAAATTGTCATCTGAATCGATCCTGCAATGAACTCCTCTGCTGAATTTTCAAATTGCTTGATCCAGAAATTGTACTTACTTTAATCCTGCCACAAATCTTTAAAACAATCCCTTAATTAAGATTCCCTTAATTAAGTTTCCTAGAAAAATGACTTTCCCTTAATTAAATTTTTCTTAATTAAACTTTCCCAGAAATCATTTTCCTTAAACTTCCAAGAAAAGCTCTGTCTCCAAGAAAAGCTCTGTCTCCACTTTTCAGAAAAGCTCATTTTTCCTTCTAGAAAAACTAAAAAAAACTCCATTTTTGCTTTCCAGAAAAACTCTTTTTTTCTTCCAGAAAAGCTCCGCCTCCGCTTTCCTTCCAGAAAGAAATCTTTAATTTCCCGAGTGCAGCAGCAGATTCTATTTTTTTGCTTTTCCTGAGTCTTGGAATATCTCCGGAATATCTCCGTGCTAAACTTCCTTTTCCGCGTGAATTTCATTTTTCCCGCATCCGCCTTTCCAATTCTGCTCCTCAGCCGCTCCCTCCGCCCAGGAACCTACCTCCCACGTCGTACATCTTTTGCTCCTGTGAGGTCTAAAACTGTCGTAGCCCGTCAACGTCGAACCGTGCCTTGTCTTTGCCAACATCTTCTTATCTTTGCCCTATAAACAAGTAAAGGAATGATAAGGTCATAAAGAGCTAATCCTGATTAGTTCAGCTCATATGATTACTGAAATTATAATTTAGACGATCCTTGTTAAGAACAACATAATTTTGATGATCCTTATGTGTGAGATTCAAATAAGCCAATTAATGGTCCTTCAAACCATCATAATATTTAATTAATTTAAACTTTGATTCAACTTGTCCATTGACATATCATCAACAACAATTCATAACCTCTTATAACAAATACATCAGGCCAATGGAATATGTCCTCGACACATGTCATCAACAACAATTGATGTATGTCCATGGTGATTCAACTTATCCATTGGCATGTATCATCAACAATAATTCATAGACTCTTATAACAAGTACAACAATCCAATGAAACTCATTAACATAAATGTAATCTTTATATTGCAAATTTTTTATTTACTACTAACATTAGAGCTTTATTTCTGAATCAAGACATTCTTTATCCCTACAAAGGTGAAAACTCAACATGCATCTTAAAAGTTATTGCTCAATTATTGACTATGAGGGCTGATTGTCATTTAACAAAGATCACATTAGACAAGAATTTTGAAGATGTCACCTTTGTAGGGATAATGGATTTTAACAAAGATTCCTCCATCAAGACATTCATTATCCGTTAAAATGTGACACCGTTGCAAGCATCTTAAAAGAAATATTACTCGATTATTGACTATAGGGACCAAATGTCCTTGAACTAAGATCTCATTAGACAAGAAATTTTACATGATTGATCCCTATACCCATTCTTAGGCACAATAATGCCCTTTCATAAATTATCCCCCTCTCTCTCTCCAATTTTTAAGTTTTAGGATGGCCTTCGAAGGCTTGGAAATAATTTCCTAAGTGCAAATGTTTGAGTAACAATATTTTGAATTTATACCGTGCCATTGTTTGAGAGTTTTTGAAGACTATTTTCTCTTTAATATGGCTAGCCCTCCTACTCTGTTGATCCATATACCCCCATTCTTAGGCACAATAATGCCCTTTCATAAATTATCCCCCTCTCTCTCTCCTGTCTTTTTATAAGTTTTAGGATGGCCTTCAAAGGCTTGGAAAAAATTTCCTAAGTGCAAATGTTTGAGGTAACAATATTTTGAATCCATACCGTACCATTGTTTGAGAGTTTTCAAAGACTATTTTCTCTTTAATTCGGCTAGCCCTCCCACTATGTTTATATAGATTTGAAGTTTGATTTATAAATCGCAAGAAAAATTGCAGTGCCTCATGAATGAGATTTTTTATTTTTATTTTTCCTTGAAAGCAATCTCCCAACTCCTTCTCACCCCCTATAGTCTTTTTGAGTGTTGAAACGAAGCGACTTCTGCAATTTCTAAACAAATTTCCGTTTTATTGAGAATACTGGATCCACCTCTCCAATAACTCACACTTCACAAAGAAAAACAAAATATAGAAACAAATGCCATCAAGAAAACCTCTCTTTAAAAAAATAATTAAATAACATTTATTATTAAATATTCCATCACGCTGGGCAACAAGAAATGGAAGAAAAAAATTTAAAAAAGAAACCAACAAATAGAATCAAATCACCACCAAAATCATAAAACCAAGCTCAACACAAGAAGCCAACTTCACCCACACAGAATAAATTTACAAGCAGGAAAAACCAGCCCTGAAAAACAGAGAAGACAAATAGTCACCGCATTTCTGGACAACCACTTAATTGGTTTCCAGTTCACCTTAACACTCGAGCTCTTCATCCTCTTCGGCACCTGCGGCACCTTACACAGATCAAAGCTCGCCCCTTTCATCCTCAACTCCTGCACACACCGAGACAACGCCCTCCCTTCTCCTCTCTCCTTCTGCAACTGTCCATAAATCTTCCAATAACTACAAATCCTCAACTGCACGGAGAAAATAAGAACAAGGGAAGTCACGAGGGAGATGAAGGCAGGCACCCACCAGCCACGGCACGCCTGCATCTCTGTTTGTCCTAAGGAAGTGGTAAAGAGCAGAGTGAGGAAGATGCCATGAAAGAAGAAGAATAAAGAACAGAGCTTGAAAGCCTCCCTTTTAATGGCGTCAAGTTTTGTTTCTTTGGATCCTATGCGGCTGGTGAAAAGCTCTTCTTCTCGTTGCCAGAGCTTGAGGAGAAGAAGATGGCCCGGGCTTGCAGAGATTTCGGCGAGTGGGTGACGTTGCATTGCAGCAAAGAGCGTTTGCTGCGGCTGTATTTCGATTAAATGAGATTCTGCCATTTTTGGGGATGAGAAAGAGAGCAGGGGAGATTGTGGGAGGAGAAAGATGGGTCGAGAAATGAAATGTGGAGGAAAAGGAAGGTGGATCTGTAGCAGTGAGATGAAGAGGTTAAGAAATGGAAAGAGAACTGAGATAGGAGAGCGAACTGTTGGGGTTTTGTTAGTGGATAAGAGCGGGATGAAAGACTTCTTGAAGGGCCAGAGCAACGGTCGAATTTTTATGCTTTCATTAAGGTGCGGGGAGTTTTTTGTTCTTGTTTTGAGGTCTTAACGGTCGAAATTCGAACGTTGGGATGAGTTTCCTTCCGTACATCATCACCGTCAAAATATAGTTTTCACTGTACTGCTACACTTTGAAGAAAATAAATTGGGGTCTATTTTATTTAGATATTTCACTAGTACTTTTATTTTGTTTTGACAAATCTATAACTGAGTCATATAAATTGAATTCAAAATATATTTTTTTTAATTTTTAAAATGATGATATTGGCGGATTATTTAGAGGACAATAAGAATCATTTTTTTTTTCTTGTTATAGGAGAAATAAATCAAATGATGACTTGAAATAAAAATGAAATAAAATAAAGTGATAAAACTAAAGTCTTATCAACAAAATTAAAAATTTAAGTTAAATTATTATTTTTTCTTAGAAGTGCATGTATATATAGTTTCCCCAAATTAGTTTCTTTAAACACCGAATATAATTCAATTATATTATTTTATTATCATATTATTGATAAATATATATATATATATAATTAAGTAGTTATTCTTTTCAAAAATAAGAAGACCTACAAAAATATATAGTTAAGTAGTTATTCTTTTCAAAAATAAGAAGACCTAGCCCTTAAAGGAACTCAGTAGATCCACATGTGAATTACATGAATATGATTGAATGAACAACTAATTCTCTAACAATTGCAATTATAATTTAAGTATATTTCTAACTCATATCAACATGTTAATATATCTTTTAACATCTGTCATCATAGTAAATGGTTGCATTCCCTTTTTGCTTTTAAAAATGACAAAGTGTTATCACTTTGATCTTTTATATAAAGTTTAATATCTCATGCACCGTTTTTGGAGTTTATTGTAATCCTTGTAAATCATAAATGCAGATAAATCTTATCAAATCGCATAAATCTTATGAGATGTACTTTACTAGTTGATTTTAACTTAAAACATACAAGTTTACAATGACAGAGGGCAAATAATTTGAAATTACCATGTTATAAAATACTCTTGTTATTGTGTTGTGGAAAAGAGGAATACCTGACCCACTTTCTTCTTACTTGAGAAAATATATATAGATATATTGGAATTGTGAGTAATGAATCACAAAGTATGTAGTTCGAACACATAGCCTTGTGGAAAAAATTGCTTCTCAAAGCACTTGGCCATAGATGTTTTCACATGCTTAGAAACATATATTTAATTATAATATATTCAAGATTTATAAATACTAAAAGTGAAACACCTCTTTTCATGCAATGGTTTAAAGTAACAAAATGCTATGCACGTATATACGAAAGTTCAGGTGTGAGACATGTAAATACAAACGAAATGTGTGCTAGGTATGTAAATTTCCCCACTCTTCTTAGTCAATAGAAGTTGTCATAGCCTACATACAAAATTTTCTTAGGCACTTCTTTTTGTAAGAAATTAATATGGAAATTATTTTGCTTTAGATGTGAGTGGATATACATATATGTTTGAATCCACCTCAAGAACCCATATTGATTGGAAGTTCCATGAAATTTATACACATTTTTCTTATTTGTACAGATGATCATGGAGCTAGCTACCTCTAAAGTGACAAATATTTTCACATGACACATGACCCTATCCAATATAAACTCTCTTCCTCTCATGTCATCATCAAGTCCACAAAACATCACTCACTTTTATTTTCTTACAAATATATCACAGCTTCACAAGCACCAATAACCAACTCACTTTAGTCTCTCGCTGAAGATCCCTTCAATGGATCCAATTAGAGCAAACATGCTCACAAGCAAGCAAACAACACTGAAGACTTGAAGTAAAATCCACTTCGATGTCCAAGGTGCTATATTTTTCTGAATAAAATACATTTCTACAGGGAAATAGATACCCAATGGCCAAAAATTGAAGGACCCAAGCAAAGCCAAGACCTGATTGAAGTAAGGGAAAGCAATGGCAAGACCTGTGGTGGACACAACGTAGAGAGTTCTGAAGCAGAGCCTGAACAGCTTGACTCTGAAGGGCTGTACGTACCAGAGGTGGATGGTGTGGAAGTCATTCATAAAGCTGCTTGAATGATATTTCTGGGCAAACCATCGCTCGACAAATGCAAAGATTGGTTGGCTGAAAACCTGCGAATTAAGACGGAGTTGTATGTCTTGAGATGAGGCATGAATGAGAAGAATAGTTCAACATTGAAATGAAATAATAATTGCCAGTGTTGAATTCGAATCTTTCCTGTGAATTACACCAAAGAAATTTAGCAAAAAAACGGTGGAGAAAAAGAAATAGTCCAAGAGAGAGAGAGAGAGAGAGAGAGAGAGTATTTGTGTGCACATTAACGAATTAATTCTTTGATTAATGATTAGCCTTTACTATAGAAATGAGCTCCCCTGTTTATAGAAGAATGTGATATAATGTGAATAATTAGCTAATTACCCCTACTTTAAAGGGGTGTTACACGTTATTTTTTATATTTACATAAATGAGCCTATGAATATGCTACCTTATTGCTCAGTCCTTGAGTCAGCATGGTTCGTTCTATCCACTTTGCTACGTTGGGTTGTCGATCAACACTGGTTGATTTTCTGTAGTCCGGAATTCGCTCGGTCCGCTAGAGCCAATCGGCCGACTGCTTGGTGTTGACAAAAGTGGAGATATAGTCCACTGCAGTTTTGATAATAATTAAAGGTGTTAAAGATGATAAACTTCCTTAACTATGCTTCCTGCCTCTTCTTCGGAATTTTTTGCCGCCTCCGTCTCTTAGCCAATTAGGCAGCTGTTTTTTGAGGTCAATTAAGGAATTAATCACTTCCTTCAGTGGAGTCAAGGAAGGAATTTGTTGTGAAAATTTGCTCCACCGAACACCTACAACCTCACTGTTCCAAAGAACTCCGTTTTTTGAGGTCAATTAAGGAATTAATCACTTCCTTAAGTGGTGTGAAGGAGGGAATTAATTAATGGTGTGAAGTTCTGCTTTTCGGTTTTCCTTTATTGGCCAAAAAGGAGGCCTTGATTTGCTCCTCTCTTCCAGATTACGATTTCAAATTATTGTAATTTTGCTCCGTCAAGAGCACCAAGAAATAAGAAATGAAATGCCAAATAACTTTCTGCTCTCCCTTGAAGATATTCCGGTTGGCGTTGGTTTGCTCTCCGTATAGCTAGGTGTTTACGGGAAACCACAGCTTACTTTTCTCCTTTGAATCCTTCTTGTGTGTTATTCTCAGGTAGAGAGAGATAGAGAGAGAAAAAGAGAGGAGAGATAAAGAGAGGAAGAGAGATCATTTTTCTTGTAATCATCGAGGTAATCGACGGGTGTAATTCCTCAAAGCTAATAAAATCCTCTTCAACTCCGTGGACGTAGGCAATTTGCTTGACCATGTAAATCTGTGTGTTTCCGTTGTGCTTCTTTGTTTTGCGTTTCTCTCAATCACGTTTTTCGCTTTATTGCCGTCGTTTTTCACAACAACTGATATCAGAGTCGTAATTCCTCAAAGCTAATAAAATCCTCTGCAACTCCGTGGACGTAGGCAATTTGCTTGACCATGTAAATCTGTGTATTTCCGTTGTGTTTCTTTATTTTGCGTTTCTCTCAATCATGTTTTTCGCTTTATTGCCGTCGTTTTTCACAATAACTGATATCAAAACCGTGGTTTTGGATCTAAGGAAGAACGATGAACGGAGACGAAGTAATGACATCAGGTATCGAGAAGTTTAATGACACTAATTTTGACTACTAGATGATGCATATAGAAGACTAACTCTATGAGAAAAAACATCACCAGTCGTTACTGAGAAATAAGCCAGAAAAGATGGACGAGGCGGAATGAAATATGTTGGATCGACAGATTCTGGGGTTATACGATTAACTCTGTCAAGTTTCATTGGCCATAACGTCATCAAGGAGAGGACAATTGTAGATCTCATGACAGATTTATCAGGTAAGCATGAAATGTCATTGGCGAATAATAAGGTGCACCTGATGAAAAAGTTATTCAACTCAAAGATGGCAGAAAGTTTTCTGTTGCTCATCACCTGAATGATTTCAATATTATCACAAATCAATTGTCGTCTGTTAAAATTGATTTTGATGATGATATACGTGCGTTGATATTATTGGCTTCATTGCAAAATAGTTGAAAACAATGAGAATGACAATTAGCAGTTCTGCAAGTAAATCTAAACTAAAGTATGCCGATATTCATAATTTGATTTTGGCTGAGGAGGTGCGCAGGAAAGATTTTAGCAAGGCCTCGGTTTTGAGTTCGACACTGAATATTGATTCTAGAGGGAGATCACAGAACAGAAGCTGAAATAGAGGAAAATTAAAATCAAAGTCTACTCAGCAGACAATCTACTGAAATTATGGTAATGATGACCACATAAAAAAGAATTGCATGAATCTTAAGAAGAAGAAAAATGATAGCGTAAATATGGTAATTGAAGAAATACACGATGCACTATTGCTGACAGTTCACAGTTCTGTTGATAATTGGATACTGGATTCAAGGGCTTCCTTCCATACATCTTCCCACCGGAAGTTGATGCGAAATTATGTTGGAGGCGACTTTGGGAAGGTATATCTGGCTGATGGAAAAGATCTGGACGTGGTGGAGATGGGAGACGTTGATATTGCACTCCCTAACAAGAGCAAATGAACTTTGCAAAAGGTTGGCACGTTCCTAAGTTGAAGAAAAACCTCATCTCTGTTGGGCAGCTCAGTGAGAGCGGTCATTTGGTAGTGTTCTCAGATAGCATCTAGAAGGTTACCAAATGAGTATTAGTACTGACTCGGGGGAAGAACACTATAAATGATTACAAGTTTACTCGACGTTGTTGCTATTATAGTTACAGAGAGCACGACAGATCTGCGGCATTGCAGACTTGGTCACATGAGTCAGAGCTATAAGGAAACATTGCAGATGAGAATTCGAGCAAGTGGCAAGGAGGAGACAGATTCTCTGCCAGAGAATTAGTCTTGAGAGCTCACAGAAATTTTACCAAGGAAGAAGACAGTGCACAAAAATTGAGTATGTCGGGTGAAGACAACGCTTGGTGGCAGTAAGAGGTACAAGGCTGGTCTTGTTGAAAAGGGCTTTCAGTAGAGGCAGAATATTGCCCATACAGTGAGAGTTGTAAGCAGATACCTTAGTATCTCCGAAAAGAGCTTGGAGATACAAGACTATGCTGACGTTGATATATCGATTAAGGGTGTTACTCTTGAGAAACTGAAGTTGTGTGCAGCTTCAGTTGGTCTTCTAGTTTGAAGACAGGGGTTTTAAGTTGTAGAGGTGGAGGATATCAGGTTTGAGGAAAGAGGACAGTGCAGTCAGTGAGTGATGCAGTCAGTGTCTCAATCTCCAATTGGGAGAATTGTTAAGGAAAGTGTAGATTTGGTCCACTGCAGTTTTGATAATAATTAAAGGTGTTATTTATGGTAGCCTTCCTTAACTATGCTTCCCGCCTCTTCTTCGGAATTTTTTGTCGCCTCCGTCTCTTAGCCAATTAGGCAGTTGTTTTTTAGGTTAATTAAGGAATTAATCACTTCATTAAGTGGTGTGATAGAAGGAATTAATTAATGGCTTGAAGATCTACATTTTGGCTTTCCTTAATGGGCCAAAAAGGAGGCCTTGATTTGCTCCTCTCTTCCTGCTATTAAAACCACATGTTTGGCTCTCCCTTGAAGGTGTTTCGGTTGGTGTTGGCTTGCTCTTCATATAGCTGGGTGTTTACGGAAACCGTAGCTTGTTTTTCTCCTTCGAATTCTTCTTGTGTGTTATTCTCGGTTAGAGAGAGATAAAGAGAGAAGGAGAAAAAGAGAGAGAGAGAACATATTTCTTGTAATTGTCAAGGTAATTGACGAGTGTAATTCCTCAAAGCTAATAAAATTCTCTGCAACTCCGTGAACATAGACAGTTTACCGAATCACGTAAATATGTGTTTCCGCTGTGCTTTTCTGTTTTGCATTTTTTTCAATTCGATTTTTAGCTTTATTGCCGTCGTTTTTCACAACACTTGGGTTTGGTTGAAGACTATCGACCTCTATATAAGGAGCTTCTATCGCTAGAAAGTGATTGGGCTATCGAGCAAATGATGAATCATAGCAATCCGACAGATTGCTCACCCAATGGCAAAAGGTCCCTTTGGGGTCTTCCTTCTGTATCCTAGTGAGAACTTTTGGCATCTTAAAGAGTCTCGGAGATTCTTACAAGGCTTCTGGTGATACTGGGGCGAGAGTTGGACTGATGCATTCTCTGGACTTGATGGATCAGGTCATTGTCTGGAACAACCTTCATTTTGCCGAAGTCAAACACCGACCCAAAGAATTTGTACTAGGTCAATCAAATCTTTAGTCTTTCAGTGATGTGACCTTTGGTATTTACTTTCATCCTTTAGTCTATTAATTTTTTTTTAGATTCGTGCAGACGCATTTATGATGCACATCTTGCTAAATTTTTAAGATATATTTTTTTCTCATTGTCATTAGAATTATAATTCTATATGCATCAGCCGATTTAACACTTATCTAACTAGAACTCCATGTGCGTTCGCTCTGTTTTTGAAGTTACGAATTAATATTTTTTACAAGGTATTATTTTATGCAGCGAAATTGTATTACCTGATAGCCTCCCACAAGATGAAGTATGATGCAAGCATTGGCAAAGTCTATGAGCCAGTAAGGTTCATAGAATCCAAATCCAGTTAAGAGGTTTCCCGGCGTGTCGTCACCAAAAGCAGCATAGCCGAAGCATCCACAGCAAAGGTAGAAGAAGGTGGTGATCATGATGGAAGCCATGGAAGCTTTCTTCATGGTCTTGTTTTCAGCAGGTGGAGATTTCAGAGTATCCTGTATTCATGTAAACTCTACACCTTGAGAACAATTATGAGAGAAAGCTATACTCAAGTACATGAATGGTTTGGCAGAACCTTACCTGTATCTCTAGGAGAATTACAGAGTAGGGATATGCAAATGCAATGAGCCCCGTGGTGGTGTCTGCTGAGTTTTAGTTGTTTGTAGAGTGTAGAGAGTTTAATTTAGGGTTAGTATTGTGAGGAATTCTTCGAGAGATTGTAAGAGTGGAGGAAAAGTGATAGATTTCTTCCTCCTTGTCGTTTCGAAGAAGAATTTTGTGTGCTGTAAAGAAAGGAAGAGATTCAGAGGAACTTTGAGGAGTTTGCTTAGGTTAGTTGTTTGTAGAGTGTAGAGAGTTTAATTTAGGGTTAGTATTGTGAGGAATTCTTCGAGAGATTGTAAGAGTGGAGGAAAAGTGATAGATTTCTTCCTCCTTGTCGTTTCGAAGAAGAATTTTGTGTGCTGTAAAGAAAAGAAGAGATTCAGAAGAACTTCGAGGAGTTTGCTTGTGGAAGAATTAGAGATAAGTGGTATTTACTTATTGAAGTTTGTATGACTTTGCTTTTATATATAAGTTCTAAGTTTTATCGTATCTTCTCCATGAGTTTTGAGTAATTTTCTCTGTCTTTCTCATTGTTTTGAGATTTTGTGAAATTGTGATTTGAATTGGTTGAGTCATGAGAATGTTAAACAAGTTGCGATGATCTTTTCACTTCGATCTTAATTTGCTTTCAATCTGGCCAATTGATTTGTTAAAATATGTTGAGTTTTACAACTAAAGTGAAGATTACATCCAAGATTTAGAGAGTTCAAAGTCCTTGAAAGTTGAGTGTAAATAAATAGGGAAATAAAATTATCGGGCGTAGAATTGGAGATTTTAGAGTGACAGACTAAAATTCTCAATTCGGTCCTATCTAGGGCTGTAAACGAGCCGAGCTTGAGCGAAGTCTGGCTAGTGTTCGGCTCGTTTGAAATAGCTCGTGTTCGAAATCGGCTCGTGAACAGTGTGTTCGTGTTCGACTCGATTTAAATATTCGTGTTCGTGTTCGGCTCGTGTTCGACTCGACTCGTTAAACTAAAATTGAGAAAAATAGATGTAAAGTGTGGGATTCGAACCTGAATCAAATATTTACAAAAGAAGATACTAACCACATTGCCACATGAGGTATTATGATTTAAACTTAGACATAAATATATATAATATATTATTATATAAATAATATATGTAATATATTGTTATATAAAATTTATTTATTTTTAAAAGTAAAAAAAGAATTCACAAAAAACTAAACAAAAACATTTTCTCCAAATTAAAAATTACAAAAAAATAAAAAAATAAAAATATTGCAGATCTGGCCCTTAGGAATTACTTGGTGGATAGGTCGTAGCAATAGTTTTGGCCTGAAAGCATTAATTATGGGATGTGGAAGGTGAAATACAATATAGTGGGAAGCGTGCAAACAACTTGAAGCAGCATAACAGGAGAAACAACGGTAAGTAGAAGTAGAAGCCCAATTCTGTAGCATGACCTGTTATTAGGAGACAAATGTTTCAACTTAAAATGTTTCAAACTTATTGTTCCAGTTATCTTTTTACTGCCTCTTAGATTCTTATATTGATTTATTTTAGTTAAACTTGATGGCTCTTTTAGAATTTGTTTCTCAGGATAATTTTTATAAGGCTCTTTTATGCATTGCTGAAATCGTAGGAATGTTGTTCTTTGCTTATTACTAGTAATTTCTGTTGTGAAATCCGCTCCGCCAAACACCTACAACCTCACTGTTGCGAAGAACTCCTTATGGATTGAGTTAGATAGAAAAGATATTTAATAATATTGTACAAATCTTTTCAGCAAGATTATGATTTCAAATTATTGTAATCTTGCTCCGTCAAGAACACCAAGAAATAAGAAATGGAATGCAAAATAACTTTCTGTAAAATAGGATCAAATAGCCATGACCGAACTCCTCTCAGCCACTTGTGCCTTCTCTGCCGACCCCCCTGCTTCTGGCTGCCGAGCCTTGCAATTCTTCTGAATGCCTCAAGAAAAACTTGCAGGCTGCCGAACACCTTGCTGCAGTTCTATTGCTCCCCATTGCTGCGGTTCCAAGAGCTATATGCGGCGGTTAGTTTCGAACCCCCTCCTTGGCGCTACGACTACTATAGTCTGCGGTTCTTGGATGTAGAAAGAAAATGGAGTAACAACAGTATCCAAGCAAAAGGGAAAAAAATATAGAAAGGAAATGCCACAGAAAACAAACACGAGAACACAAGGGATTACGTGATTCGGTCCTTAGACCTACATCCACGGAGGGAATCATTATCAAATTCACTAGCACAAAAGAAGAATTACAGACTCATTACATGAAGGAATCACCAAGATCTCTCTCTCTCTCTCTACAAGACCTCTCCCTCAATTCTAAAGCCTCTCAACTTCTTCCTCTCATCGCTAAATTTTCTTCCTCCTCTCCTTTCCTTGAACAAAATTTTCTTTCTCCTTATGGTGATTACATCCCTCAAGTCCCCTCATCTATTTATAGATAGATGAGGCCTTCCAAGAGGCATGAAAATTACAAGTGTGTCATTTATGTCATAATTAAGAGCCATGAATAAACAACATAATTAATTAATGGTGTGAAGTTCTGTTTTTCTATTTTCCTTTATGAGCCAAAAAGGAGGACTTGATTTGCTCCTCTCTTCCTGCAATTAGAACCGCATGTTTGGCTCTCCCTTAAAGGTATTCTGGTTGGCATTGGTTTGCTCTCCATATAGCTAGGTGTTTACGGGAAACCGCAACTTGCTTTTCTCCTTTGAATCCTTCTTGTGTGTTATTCTCAGGTAGAGAGAGATAGAGAGAGAAAAAGAGAGGAGAGAGAGAGAGGAAGAGAGAGATCCTTTTTCTTGTAATCATTGAGATAATCGACGGGTGTAATTCGTCAAAGCTAATAAAATCCTCTTCAACTCTGTGGACGTAGACAATTTGTTTGACCATGTAACTCTGTGTGTTTCCGCTGTGCTTCTTTGTTCTGTGTTTCTCTCGATCCTGTTTTTCGCTTTATTGCCATCATTTTTCACAACAACTGATATCAGAGCCATGGTTTTGGATTTAAGGAAGAACGATGAGCGGAAACGAAGTGATGATATCATGTATCGAGAAGTTTAATGACACTGACTTTGGTTACTAAAGGATGCATATAGAGGACTAACTCTATGAGAAGAAACATCACCTGCCGTTACTGGGAAATAAGCCGGAAAAGATGGACGAGGCAGAATAGAATATGTTTGATCGACAGGTTCTGGGGGTTATACGATTAACCCTATCGAGTTTCATGTCCATAACGTCATCAATGAGAGGACTATTGCAGATCTCATGACAGGTTTATCAGGTATGTATGGCATATAATTGGCGAATAACAAGGTGCACCTGATGAAAAAGTTATTCAATTTGAAGATGACGGGAGGTTTATCTGTTACTCATCACCTGAATAATTTTAATATTATCACAAATCAATTGTCGTCTGTTAAAATTGATTTTAATGATGATATAAGTGCGCTGATTTTATTGGCTTCATTGCAAAATAGCTGAAAAACAATAAGGATGATAATTAGCAGTTCTACAAGTAAATCTAAACTAAAGTATAATGATATTCGTGATTTGATATTAGCTGAGAAAGTACGCATGAAAGATTCTAGCAAGACCTCTGTTTTGAGTTCGGCACTGAATATTGATTCCAGAGGGAGATCACAAAACAAAAACTCAAACAGAGAAAGATTAAAATCAAAGTCTACTCAGCAAACAATCTGCTAAAATTGTGATAAGGATGACCACATAAAAATGAACTGCCTGAATCTTAAGAAGAAGAAAATTGATAGCGTAAATACGGTATTTGAAGAAATACACGATACACTATTGCTGACAATTCACAATTCTGTTGATAACTAGATACTGGATTCAAGGTCTTCCTTCCATATATCTTCCCACAGGAAGTTGATGCAAAATTATGTTAAAGGTCACTTTGGGAAAGTATATCTGGCTGATGAAAAAGCTCTGAACGTGGTGAAGATGGGAGACATTGATATTGCAAATGGACATTGCAAAACGCCGGACACGTTCCTGAGTTGAAGAAAAAACCTCATCTCTATTGGGCAGCTCAATGAGAGCGATCATTTGGTAGTGTTCTCAGATAACATCTAGAAGGTTACCAAATGAGCATTAGTACTAGCTCGGGGTAAGAAAACTGACACATTATAAATGACTATAGGTTTACTCAACATTGTTGCTACTACAGTTGCAGAGAGTACGACATATCTGCAGCATTGCAGACTTGGTCACATGAGTCAGAGCTATAATGAAATCTTGCAAGACGAGAATTCGAGCAAGTGGCAAGAAGGAGGAGACGGATTCCCTACCAGGGAATTAGACTTAAGAGCTGATAGAATTTCCACCAGGGAAGAAGACAGTGCACAAAAATTGAGTATACCGGGTGAAGACTGCGTTTGATGGCAGTAAGAGGTACAAGGTTGGTCTTGTTGAAAGGGCTTTCAGCAGAGGCAAGATATTGCCCATGCAGTGGGAGTTGTAAGAAGATACCTGGTATCCCAGGAAAGAGCTTGGAGATACAAGGCTATGTTGACGTTGATATATCGATTAAGGGTGTTACTGTTGAGAAACTGAAGTTGTGTGCAGCTTCAATTGGTCTTTTAGCTTGAAGACAGAGGTTTTGAGTTGTAGAGGTGGAGGATATCATGTTTAAGGACAAAGAACAGTGCAGTCAGTGGGTGATGCAGTCAGTGTCTCAGTCTTCAACAAGAGAATTGTTGAGGAAAGTAGAGATTTGGTCCACTGCAATTTTGATAACAATTAAATGTGTTATTTATGATAGCCTTAACTATGCTTCCCGCCTCTTCTTCGGAATTTTTTGCCGCCTCCGTCTCTTAGCCAATTAGGCAGTTGTTTTTTAGGTCACTTAAGGAATTAATCACTTCATTGAGTGTTGTGATAGAAGGAATTAATTAATGATGAGAAGATCTACTTTTTGGTTTTCCTTAATGGGCTAAAAAGGAGGCCTTTATTTGCTCCTCTCTTCCTGCTATTAGAACCACATGTTTGGCTCTCCCTTGAAGGTATTTCGGTTGGCGTTGGCTTGCTCTTCAGATAGCTGGGTGTTTACGGGAAACCACAGCTTGTTTTTCTCCTTTGAATTCTTCTTGTGTGTTATTCTCGGTTAGAGAGAGATAGAGAGAGAAAAAGAGAAAAAGAGAGAGAGATCATTTTTCTTGTAATCGTCAAGGTAATTGACGAGTTTAATTCCTCAAAGCTAATAAAATCCTCTGCAACTCCGTAAACATAAGCAATTTATTGAACCACATAAATATGTGTGTTTCCGCTGTGCTTTTCTGTTTTGCCTTTTTTTCAATCCGATTTTTAGCTTTATTGCCGTCGTTTTTCACAACACTTGGGTTTGGTTGTCGACTATCAGCCTCTATATAAGGAGCTTCTATCGCTAGAAAGTGACTGGGCTATCGAACAAATGATGAATCATAGTAATCTGACAGATTGCTCACCCAATGACAGAAGATCCCTTTGGGGTGTTCCTTTTGTATCCTAGTGAGAACTTTTGGCATCTTAAAGAGTCTCGGAGATTCCTACGAGGCTTCTGGTGATATTGGGGCGAGAGTTGTGTTGATGCATTCTCTCGACTTGATAGATCAGGTCATTGTCTCCAACAACCTTCATTTGACCGAAGTCAAATACCGACCCAAAGAATTTCTACTTGGTCAATCAAATCTTTAGTCTTTCAGTGACGTGACCTTTGGTATTTACTTTCATCCTTTAGTCTATTAATTTTTTTTGAGATTCGTGCAGACGCATTTATGATGCACACCTTGCTAAATTTTTAAGATATATTTTTTTCTCATTGTCATTAGAATTATAATTCTATATGCATCAGCCGATTTAACACTTATCTAACTAGAACTCCATGTGCGTTCGCTCTGTTTTTGAAGTTACGAATTAATATTTTTTACAAGGTATTATTTTATGCAGCGAAATTGTATTACCTGATAGCCTCCCACAAGATGAAGTATGATGCAAGCATTGGCAAAGTCTATGAGCCAGTAAGGTTCATAGAATCCAAACCCAGTTAAGAGGTTTCCTGGCGTGTCGTCACCAAAGGCAGCATAGCCGAAGCAACCACAGCAAAGGTAGAAGAAGGTGGTGATCAAGATGGAAGCCATGGAAGCTTTCTTCATGGTCTTGTTTTCAGCAGGTGGAGATTTCAGAGTATCCTGTATTCATGTAAACTCTACACCATGAGAACAATTGTGAGAGAAAGCTATACTTAAGTACATGAGTGGTTTGGCAGAACCTTACCTGTATCTCCAGGAGAATTACAGAGTAGGGATATGCAAATGCAAT